AATATTGATGACAAGTTCTCACATTCAAATCAACAAGCTCTCGAATTTTGCTAGTAATTATCCAATTATGCAATAGCTGCATTATTACACCTTACTAGACATACTCTATCACACCTCACAGAGAATATGTCCAGAGTGTTGAAATCAATAATCAGTTATCACCTTCTAGATAATAAAAAAAGGGTTTCTATATCTGTAAGAATCTCTTCGATTTACCAGCAATTTCATATCTGATCTTCTCCATATGTAGCACACTGCTAAACTCTGTTAGCCACATCTTAAATTTGGGTACAAACTATTTGTTCCACATCTTCAAAATAGTCTTCTTTGCTATTGTGATCCCATACTGAACTGCCTGAGTTTGATTTGGACTATAGGTCTCCAAATATGGAGCCCAGCCTAATACAGAAACAAGGAGGTAATGGGGAAAATCAGTCTTAAATGCCCTTGAATAAAAACAAAACACTTCACACCAGAACTTACACATTTTTGGACAGAACCAAAATAAATGACCCAAGGTTCCCTCGTTGGACTTACATTTAATACATAAAGGTGACACAGAGGGGTATATAGAATGAAACCTGGTACGAGAATAATTCTATCTGTGCACAACTTTATATTGAATGAGCTGAAAGTTAGAGCTGATGGAACACAATCTAATGCCTTGAAGAGCCTCAGTCCAAGTGTCTTCTGAAATATCTATATCTAGGTCTTTCTCCCAGGACATCTTCAAAAGTTGTGTAGGAGGAACCCTGGAGTCATTAAAACATTCAACGAATCTAGAAACAAGACCCTTCAAATTGAGTTCAGATGTCATACAAAGATAAAGATGTTCAGGGGATTTGTAAGTTTCAAAATTAGGAATATTACTTTTAACATAATTCCGTACCTGTAGATATCTGAAGAAAGGAGAAGGGGGTAATCCAAGAAATCACTCCTTTTTCTAAACCTCTTGTCACTCTGAGGAAGACGGCAATTTCTTCCTGGAATGAGTTTGCAAATGACGTTTCAGGACATTTTGATATGTGAAACTCTTCTCACACTGAAGACACTTGTAAGGTCTCTCTCCAGTGTGAACTCTCATGTGAAACTTAAGGTTTCCTTTAACCCTGAAACTCTTTCCACATTGTTCGCAGGTGAAAGGTTTCTCTCCAGTGTGAACTCTCAAGTGATTCTCAAGGTTTGCATTGTGTTTTAAACTCTTTCCACAGTGATGGCACATGAAAGGCTCTTCTCCAATGTGAGTTGTTACATGATTCTTAAGGTGATTTGTGTCTGTAAAACTCATTTCACACCGATGGCATAGAAAACAGTTATCTCTTGAGTGAATCTTCACGTGGTAATCAAGATTTACTTTACATCTGAAGTTCATTCCACATCGAGCACATACGAACGGTTTCTCTCCAGTGTGAATTCTCATGTGGACATTCATTGCTGCTTTATGTTTAAAACACTTTCCACAATGAAGGCAGGTGTAAGGCTTCTCTCCAGTGTGTTTTCTCATGTGGTTTTTAAGAGTTTCATTCTGAATGAAGCATTTTCCACACTTTTGGCAGGTGTAAGGTTTCTCTCCTGTATGAATCCTCGTGTGAACTTTAAGGTTTTCTTTCCGAGTGAAACTCTTTCCACACTGTTGGCAGGTGAAATGACTTCTAGCTCCTGTCTTCTGAGCACTTTTTCGAGAAGTCGTCTTTTTAGTCTGTGAGCAACTAAAAGATTTTTCTCCAGTTCTTAAATCGTGATGTTTCTCATCTAGATCTTTCTCTATCTTTACATCAAGTTCTTGAATCTCCTCTTTCAGTGGCATCAGGTCTAAAGTGGAGGAAAAAAAGAAAAGGAAAAAAAAGAGTTTTGGGGTTCAAATGTTTAATATTGACTTGGATAGTCCAGTCCTTTGTTTATAGACTTCCTAAATACAATAAGGAATTTATTAATAATTTTTCAGACTTTTATCAACTGTGATTCCTACCTCTTATATCTTATTAATTTTAATATTCTTGATTGTTGTCCTGACAAACCATTGGTTAAAGACTTTTTAGATCTTGATGATTCTTTTAACCTTGCACAGCCTGTACTGGGGCCCACTCATAGGCATGGGCACACGCTGGATTTAGTGTTTTCTTCTGGTTTTCCCATTTGTAATGTTGACACTGCTGATATTCCTTTATCAGACCTTCCTTCGGATTCAAATATTAGGAATGCGTGGTTGAACTTTATTTTTAATGAAGTCTCAGCTCACGCGAGTAAAACATTGAGTGTTTGTTCGCTTCATTTCACCGTGGATTCCTTTGTAAACAAGATGACACTGGATTTGTAGTGAGACTGAGATTAAAAAGCAATGCTGTGCCGTATATATTGGATCCGACAGGTATAGCGCAGCAGACTTATGTGAGTAAAAAATATTTGTACTATGTGTCACTATTGCTTTGTTAGAGATCGCTTGATATGTCCTGATTATGTGTACGTGTCTAAAGTCACAGAAGGCTCCAAATATGAAGGGCGTAGCTTGTCAAATGGCGCTTTTCCACTGCATGGTCCGGCTTGGAACGGTTCACTTTTTGGGGGTTTTCCACTGGGTACAGCACCTGGTACCTGGTACTTTTTTTAGTACCACCTCGGTTGGGGTTCCAAGTGAACCGTACCGTTACCAAAACGTGACGTGTAAACTCTGCTGATCACAGATTGGCCGGAGAGAATCGTCACTACCTGCGTCACTGAACTTGCGACACAAACACAAAAGAACCGCTAGATTTAAATCAGCACAGCCAGCGAAGGATCGAACGCAACTGTTTTGAACGAGCACACCTTTTTTTAACAACCAAAAAGTTTTGTTGTCTGTTGCGGAAGAACAGACGTTCCTTTCGTTGATAGCAGAGGAGCGGATCCAGCGAGAGCTTGATGGGGCGACGCAGAATTAAAACGTTTTTTTTTAGGAGTCGTGGTAGTAGGCGGCGCATCTATAACGACATGTGAATAATCCCGCCCACTCTAAAGCGGTACTGA